TTAACGATTCATTCAATCGCGATAAACTTTACGATAGGTTTAATACAGCTATAGCGATAGTCCTATAATAGCTATCGCTTCTCGAGAATTAACAAAAATTAGGAAAAGAAATAATATTTTTCCCATCTAAAATAGAATGGTATAATATGTTATTCAATATAGATGGCCAATTGGTACAAAATATGTACAATATTAGGTATATAAACACAATATAATATTATTGTGAATTGTGACTTAATTGTTCGGTATGTTACCGTAAAATGTACGGCGTAAATAATAAATTGGTAAATAGTGTGTATGTAATGTACTAGGTACACTTATATAATTGTGGATATAAGAATATAAAATAATGAAAAAAGTTCTGCAAACTGTACAAAATTAAGGTACCTTTGTTTGTTTAATATTCTTAGGGCGTCTTTAACTTAAATGCATTTAATTTGGGGGGACTAAGCCTCCGTAAGCCCCCCCTCCCCGATCTCCACTCAGAATCATTTTTCGTATATCATATCATTGAATTCAAATTTTAATACCATTCATTACAGCGACCTCCTGGACACCTAATGTACAGCAGAGCGACATCCAATTACCCGTTTTTTTTTAATAAGGAGTCATAAGCCTTATTACTAAATTATCAATTTTTTAAGTTAGCGCCCCTCTTGGAAATTGTTCTTGTTTTTTTCCTTTAATATACTGTCGAAAACCTAATCTTCCACGGTGGAGAAGCAGAGACTCATCTAACGAAAGTTCAATATGCGGGTAAAAAGCTTTTTGAAAATTATCAATCAACATTGTGTACCTAAACCGGGTCAAGTTTTTTCATGTGGCCTTCAAGAACTACTATTTTTTCTGAATACTCAACAGTAAAACAATTCAGAAGTTGCTTAAAACGTTTTGCCGACATAATTTTTTTAGCGATTGGGTAATAATATAAAGGGCTGTTTGAGAATGCAACACAGAAAATTTAGCAGATCCAAAAAGTTAACATAAGCTCAAAAATGTATTGATTTCTTCTTTATCAGTATTTTTGAAAGACAAACTTCTAGATTTTTTATAATTGGGCCGATTTTCAATACACACATTATAATACTTATACATTTATATACATATCACTACAGTGGCGTAGCCAGGGGGAGGCTGAGGGGGCTGCAGCCCCCCCCGAAATGTTAATAAAATTTAAAAATTATTTTAATGGTCTATGGTATTCGATCAAAAACTAAACCACCGCTGTGTAAAAAATTGATCAGCCTCCCCCCCCGAAAAAAAATCCTGGCTACGCCATTGTATCACTAAAATGAAAAATAATTTTATTAAAACAAATTATAACATTCCAAGACTTATTTATAAATTATAATTGATGATAATTGTAACCGTCGATTCGAAATTGCAAATTTATTTAAAGTAAACACTAGGCTATCGAATACTGACAATAGGTTTTAATTCTACATTTCTAAATAAACTGAAATCTCACCACTTATTGTCAGTAATATGTATTGTAATTAAGTAATTTGTAATACTATTATTAAAATTATACTGCGTTCTGTGAGTGGATCCGATATCTACTAGGAAAGACACACGAATAATGAACCGTTGTTTAAACTTTGGAAAATAATTTCGTCAAACAATGTTGAATGAATTATGTAGATCAGTGGCGGATCCAACGCTTAATTTTGTGGAGGGGCAAAAGTACAAAAAAGGCTTTAAAAATGTCCAAACACAGTGTAAGACATAGAGCAAGTAGGGAAATTGGGGGTGGGGGGCAAAGGGGAATTTGCCCCCCCCCCTCATGGATCCGCCACTAGATTAGATAACTAATGAATTTTGAATAAGAGTATAACTAGTATAAGTATTTCAAAAGTTTCATGTAGCCTATAGTCGAAAATTAACATCATTTAAACAATCAGCTTATTACAGTAATATTTGAGAAATCTAGTATTTAAAGAAGTACCTAATATTATATATTACACAAAATTATTTAAATACCAGTGCTAAAAAACATTTACTATTTTTTGAAAGGAATTTAAATTATTTTTATTATACAAATTAAATAATACTGACAACATTAAAACAAATGAAACAGTGGTTTTGATCAAGATAATAGTTCTTACTTGTTGGTACTTAGTAGTTAGTAATAGTTACAAGGTAAAAGGCAATGAATGAATTAAAACATATTTTATAGATCATACTGTTTATTTTAACATAGAAGACATTCTTTTTAATAATCTAAAATTAAAAATTCCTGTAACCAAATTAATATGGTTTAGAAGAATGGTTTTTCAGGCTTACTTTTGGTAATTCTTTGAACAGGCATTTCCCAGTATTGTCAACTGAATTATTTTCATCACTTGGAACCCACACATTTAGTATACCAGCTTCACCGCCAGTAACCATTATACCATACTACAATGAAAAAAAAGGTTAATAATTATTAAATATTAGTAGAACTAGTAAAATGTTTAAATAAACGAGCACACTATCAGTTAAAAAGTTTGGGGTCTGCCTCTATATTCTATATTAATGGTAAGAATGCATTCTTGTTCTTCAAGACTGGCTACCACTGTATACATGTTAATACAATTCTTGCGACACTGCTGTAATGTGCAGTTACTGTCAATTAGTATAAAGTATACGGACTCTATGATAGATAAATATAACTAACATGTGGCATTCTTATAATTGAATATCAACTTAATAAATTAGTAGAATAATCTTGGTAACAATTTTAAATTTTGACATAAAATAATATTTTATGCTTACATTATAATCATACCAACTGCATCTAACAATTTGTTTATTATTTTTGAACAAACTTCTAGGTGACAATTCAGGACCATCATTTATTATATCAAGTGACTGCAAATGTTCTCTATAATACATAAAAAAGTTATATTAAACCACAGCATTAAATTATTTATAGTACAGAAATATATATTGTATACCCTCTGCTATTATCATTTCCAACTAGCAACATAATATTTCCATTTTCATCTGTTTGATGACAATTGATTATCTGACTAAATATATCAGGTTTTACCTAAAAATAAAAAATTATAATATCGACTAAAACTTAAAATTAATAGAAAAATTATACTTACATTCATTGAATTACTAATTGTATCCCTGGGAATAATACTATATGGAGTAGAATCTGTTGTGTGCCATAGTTGAACATCCTCTGTATGTGTAACACAAGATATGATTGAATCATCATTTTTATTTTTAAACCATCTTAAGTTTGCCTTAAAAAATTGTTCATTCATTAATATAGTGTGTAGAAATATTAAATATTTATAAAAAATCTAGTGTTTTAGATGTATCAACAAGCAGACTATTTTCAATCTAGCTAGACAATTTCAATAATATAGGTATAGATATAAATCAATAATTTCACTTACAACAGATGAGTTTGTATTAAAACTTAATTGAAGAGCATCTTGCTCAGTGGTTTGAGTAACATCAAATAAGTTTATTATACCATCAGTAGATCCACTAATCACAGTTTTGTCTTCAGTGGGATGAAATTTAACCTATAAATATTAAAATGTTTAAAATGAAATAGAATATTTCTGGTATTTATACGCACAGTGCCCCACCAACAAATATGCCGTTTGAAGGAGTATTTTAAATTGCCACTTTTACTACTATTTTATCAATCATAAATAAAAGTTTGGGCAACAATCTTTTTTAAAAATGATGCCATTTAATTTTATTTGCTTTCTACTATCATTAAAAATATTAACTGCTAAAATAAATACTAAAACAAACTTTCTTGGTCACCCACTTTTTGGTCAATTGAGTTTGGCTACTCTCGCATTGCCTTGGTGAGAGACTACTAAAAATGTATATAGCTACTAGGTAATATACCAGTGGCGTAGCTGGAACACAATCAAGGGGGGGGGGGTTATTTAAATACTATAACATTTTATTACCTATATAGCATAGGTTCTTAACCGGGGGTCTATGGGTCGGCAGTGAGTTTTTTTAAATAACCCAAAAATAAATATGTTTGAAATTAATTCATAATATTATTTGATGAACCTTTAAAGTAGAAACAGTACATTTATAATATATAATAGTAAAGATAAGTAAATATATCAATTCAAAGACGAGCAGTGACACACGTTCATAGCGTCCAAAAAAATAAACGCATTTGTAAATGAAATTTCCCTTTGGAAAAGAAGACTTCAATTGGAAAATTTAGTAGACTTTCCATCACGAGCTTTCAAAAAATAATATTGTTTTATCTAGTTCCATAACAAAGCAAAACGTGTGCAAATCTTAATGTGCTTGTAAATGTATTTGGCAATTATTTGGATTTTAAATATTCGAAAGCAGAAATATGGTTACTCACAGTTCTTTTCTAGTAGACTTAAATGCAATATTAATTATTCAGACCTTGTTAATATGAATTAATTGATTTGACATCAAAAGAAGTGGCACGCCCCGGTTTTCAAACAGAAAGTGTAATCAAATTTTGGTGTTCGTAGACAAAGACTTATCCACGAACTTTGATTATATTCGCAACTACATAGTTCTGTGAGTCTGGATTTTTAACAACGGTCACAATTAAAACTAGAGCAAGAAATCGATTGGACATTAAGGACATATGCAAATTGCTCTGTCTATCCAATACGGTCCTAAATTTCAAGGCAATATTGCAATCAAAAAACAGCAAATGTCACATTAAAACTTGTTTTTAACCATTATAAAAAGTGATTAATAACAATAATTTAATATTGTATTAAGTCTAAGTATTATCATTAAATTAATATTTTTTTTTGGTGAGGGGGGGGGGGCATGATTATATTTTATACTTCAAAGGGGTCCATGGCCCAGAAAAGTTCAAGAATCTATACTATATAGGCTATGACCGTGATTAAAATCACCAATAAATAATTCTAAGTGGGGCATTCACCCATCCACCAGCTACACTACTGTAATATACAAATAAAACATTTTAAGCTGTATCATGAATATTTTAATTGATACTATAAATAAACAGGTCCGAATGCCATAGCCCAGTGGACTCAAACACGCCACAAACCCTTTTAATGTACCCAGCAATAAATATTTATTTCTTCAAAATTTTTTACTTTTTGTTTTATAAAGTATTTTATATTTGACATTTACATTCGTAATAGGAATTTAATGTTGTACTCAGTTTGTGAGTAAAGTCTGTGTGTGCTACATGTTCGATAAAATGTCCAGTTTAAAATCGGCCACTAAGGACATATTTTTCAAAGAAAATGGGGCTATGCATATTTTTTTACCAGTTGTAATTCTGTTCCTATATGTTTAATATGTAAACAAAGTGTATCAGTCATCAAAGAGTATAACATTAAAAGACAATACGATACTAACCATAGTAAGATTTACAATAAATTTGTAAGAAAGTTACTTGATAAAAAATTTGAAAAACCAAAAAAAAATCTTTTACATCAAACAATAGGTAATTTGAGTATGAGGTATGACACAATATTGTTGGGGTATATGCCATAAATATGAATGCAGCATATTTTATTTTTACAGCCACCATGGATAAGTAATATCGCCATAGTTTCAAATGCCAAAAATGTGTTTGTATTATTATGCATAATTTTAATTACCAATAACTCTTCTTAAAAATGATTGTAAATTATTAAGCTAAAAACTTGTTTGATCTAGACATCAATAAATGCCACTTGAGACATTTGACTCTTTGTCCCACCCCTTAACATGTTACTGTGTAGTGCATATATAAACATTCAGAGTATATTTACCTGTGTAATGTCTTCTCGGTGAGTATCCCAATAACCACCAAGTAAGTTAGTTGTACGAATATCCCAAAATAATAAGAAAGCATCATCTTTAAACACTTCTGTTCCAGCGACTAAGAATCTTCCATCACAAGATACATCAAAACATGACAATGGTTTCAGTTCAGTATCAGTATCATCTAAAATGAATAAACTTAAAATTTAAAATATACTCTAATATACTTCAGTCTTTATACCTTTAAAGACAGAAACACATTTTTCTTTCAAACGCAAATCCCAAAGTTTAATAGTTCCATCTTCAGATCCTGTGTACACGATGGAAGATAACTGACCATTACTTGAACCAAATCTAAAAAAGGAAATAAATAAGTTGAATGCTGTTCATAAATTAACAAATAAGTGACAATTGTAATTTTACTTGACATCAACAATTTTTTTTTCATGCTCCAAGGATTCTCTAATCGACTTACATCCAGCATCAATATCATAGATATTACAAGTAAAATTGGAGAGTGCTGTTGCTATTCTTAGTGATTGTCCACTATAAAAAAAAAAATTAAACTAGTACTATTCAATTTAAGATCTTGCATTTTTAATGTTAACATCTGTATTAAGTTAACTACATTTTTTGTGCATCCAAATTCAAAACATAGACATCATTTGAACTGAGAACTTCTTCAAAAGTTTGTTTATATTTAATTTTATAATTTATTTCTTTAGAGCTATCAAATACTGGTTGTTCATAAATATCAATAACTTCATCTTCTTCCGAACTGTCTTCTTCATTAAAACTTGAATGACCTGAAGTTTCTTCGCCATCTGAACTCGAATCTGACGAATCTTAGTTTAAAACAATAGACTTAATACAAAAAACATTTACAATAAGAATTTTAATATTATAATATGTTCTTACTAACCGGTCTCTGTTATAAAATGTAAAGTCATTGTAACAACGAAAACCTGTACATATATCTTAAAGTAAAAAGTCGATTTGTTCAATAATTACAAAAAATATTTAAAAATGTAATATAGATAGGTATTTGGAAATTTTAAATTTGCAAGTGATAACTGATAAGCATTATAACTTCCAAGCATAAACCACGTGTGTTTACTATTCACTATTCATTCTGATAAATACATAGACCTTGTACCTTGAGTATAAGGTCTATGGATAAATATGGTTACATAATTTATACACAAGGTTATCCACCTTGATAATATTATCACAGGCCTTCTATACTACACATTTATACCAACCACAGTTAAATTTAAAAAAATATTAAATGGTACAACCATCATGGGTACAACTTAAATCGAGGTACCAACCATGGCTAAAAACACCATGGACCTGATAATTATTGTGGCATTTTATTTAGTCCAACAGTACCAACTTACTACAATTATCTACCAATTTAGATGCTAAATAACCCATAAATAATCAAGATTTTCAAGAAGAAAAACTCGATGCGTATCAATAGGGAATAGTTCCATCACAGATTAAATGAAATTTAATTTATTCTGTGGTAATATTGCTCAATGTACGCACACGAATTCAAATACACAGTGTCTAGAGCACCGAGCGCCCGGTCACGCTATAGGAAAAATAAATATTCGCCATTCGGTACCTGGCGCTCGACACTTAGTGTAGAATCGGGTCCCTCAGTTGAATATATTATACTATTATAGTATTAGTTTATTTATTATGAAAATTTAAGTGGTTTACCTATTTGGTTTGAGCCTAATAATAACCTTATACAAATATAAGTATTAAACTTTTTAGTCATATTATCTTATACTGTCTCTAGTAATCGATCTATACAAGCTTAACTTTATATTAAATTATTTTAGTTCATCATCTGGATGTCGTTAAGTGTTGTAAAGTTGTCAAGTTAAATAATAATGAGAGGCATAGACTGAAAGACTATTGACGACACCGTCCAGGAGATTTCAATAACTTAAGTAGGACCGAACGAGAAAATGTAATCATTAATTGGATAACAATAAACAAACTATTAAAACAAATGAAAAATAAAAATTATTTATTGAGCAAAGGGAAAATTAAAAATGTTGGTTAGACGCTTTTTTGAAAATGATGCGGCTGATGAGTGGGGTCCTCTGTAACAACAAACGTTGATATAAAAAAATTAAAATTAAATGGAATAAGAAAAATATTAAATATATCTATATAAAATTATTATGTTTTATGCCTTGTTATAAAATATACAAGCTTACTGAAGGAAACCGGGAGCCCCGAAAAATATTCCGGTAACAGCAGGGCGTTCAGTGCACACTGCCCCCGTTCAAATTTTACGAGACAGAACAACGGACGTATGAAATTTGTAAATATGTAAAATATGTACATTGTTGAGTAGTCCGTAGTTTATGAGTTTAAAATAGTTAATAGTTATCAGATATTATACAACGATATAAAAATGGGTGATAATATTAATTTATGATAGTCATAACTAGAGCTAGGATTTTGGTGACTTTTGCATTTTTCTTTAAGTGCTATACAGTTCTAACCAAAAACTAAATGTGTTTCGTGACATAACAATTTAGAATGTGACATTTTTATTTTGCATTTTTTTGCATTTTTTGTGTTAAATGCATTTTATTGCATTTTTAAGCTCATTTTTATAAATTTTAGGTTCATTTTGTGTATTTAAACTATTTTTTGGGGGACGAGGTGACCGAGTGGTCTGACTCTTCCGCTGCGACGCAGCCGGTCGCGGTTCGATCCTCGGCCACCGGGCGGCATTTTTCTCCGGACAAGTCGCGGTGACCGGAGAGCAAGTGCTGCCATCCCCCACCCCCGGGGCATGGCAGAAACCTACGGGTGCCCCA